GGTCTTTAACAGGGAGGTCAAAACTGCACAAACTCTTTTTGAAAAATGTCATTCTGCAGACGGTCTCTAAAACATGTTATCTAATTTGATTACACAAAATATGCAAAATAATCTTAAATAAGTGCAAATATATATGAATTCTTATAAGATGCCCTTCCTACAAATATGATTAACTATTATCTCATTTTAATGTATTAATTTCCCTCCTGGTCCGTTCCACCCATAATTTTTCCCAGGACAAAGACAGTGTATAGGGATACTGCTTCCCCTAACCCTATTTAATTCCTTCACAGTATTTTTACAACTTGAAATTATCTTGTATATATCAATGATGAAAAGGACCTTGTCTAAGAGGTTTGCTGTTTTATGAGCCTAAAATAATACTAAATATATAGTAAGAACTGGGGGAAAAAAAACACTTCTTAATAAATCCAAGCAAATCAGTACCAAGCAGGCCCAATCACTGCCTTCAGTGCCAGCAATGATACTTTACATTAGGGGTATCGAACTCAATCAGAGAAGGGGCCAAAATCTAAAATCCAGCCTAAATCGCAGGCCGAATGGTTTACTGAACAGTCATAAACTGTCATTGTGATGGAAACGCAGCGGAGTGCAGTGATGACAGCACGGTGCGGGCCACATTGCAAGGCCTGGCGGGACGGATTTGGCCCGCGGGCCTTGTGTTTGACACATGTGCTTTACATGCTTCCACTATAGAAAAAGCCAATCAGAGAAAGACAAATACAGTATTTCCCTCATATGTGGAATCTAATGAACCAAATAAAATAACAAGCAAAATAGAAATAGACTCATAGATACAGAGAATAGACTGGCAGCTGAGAGAGGAGGGGAGTTGAGGATTAGGTGAAAAAAGCAAAGGGATTAAGCAAAAAACAAACCACAAAAAACACACACAAAATTAAAGACACAGACAACGATATGATCATTTCCACGGGGAAGAGGGGGAGGTAGTAGAGGATAAAGGGGGGCATAAATAGTAACAGGAGACTTGACTTTGGGTGGTGAACACACAATACAATGTACACCTGAAACCTATATCATCTTATTAATCAATGTAACTACAATAAATTCAATAAAAATTTAAAAAATAGAACGAGAATATTTCAAATGTTAAAAATAACTACTTATGCAGAAACCAGTTTGGATCAGTGGTAGAGCGTCGGTCTGGGCACTGAAAGGTCCGAGATTCGATTCTGGTCAAGGGCATGTACATTGGTTGCAGGCACATCCCCGGTAGGGGTGTGCAAGAGGCAGCTGGTCGATGTTTCTCTCTCATCGACGTCTCTAACTCTCTATCCCTCTCTCCTCCTCTCTGTAAAAAATCAATAAAATATATTTTTTTAAAAATAAAATAAAATAACTACTTATACTATAGGTAAAATAAGAAAAGGTGACAGGACACTCAAGTCTCAATTTTCTCAACTGGAAAGAGAGATTGATAACATGCATTACACTGGATTGTAAATGAGATTATGTGAGATAAATATTTGTGAAAATATCTAGCATAATTCTTAATATTCAACAAATATCTATTAGTGCCTATTATGTGCCAAGCACTAAAGGTACGATGTGGCATACTGTTTTTTCCAAAAATGTCTACAACAAGGCCCCCCTCCCACATGCTCTTCTATGTCCCCCCAAAGAGGTGGACTCCCTCCCCTCCTCTTGAATCTGAGAGGGCTAGTGATTCATTTTAACCAAAAGAATAAAGTGGACATGAAACTGCTTGACCCTTGAGACAGTTAGCATCTGCCTTGTACTGGGATACTAGCTTTTACAGTCCCAAGCTGCTGTGTAAGAAGTCCGACTATCCAGAGCCACCATGCTGTGATGGAAGCCCGGGCCACATAAACAGACCACATGCGATGTCTGGTCAACAGCCTCAGCCAAAGGCCAGCATCAACTCGAGGCACAAAGAAGCTTACAGATGTCAGAGCTCCAGACACTGAGGATTCTCAGCTGAGGCACCAGACATCACGGAGCAGAGATAAGTTGTTCTCACTGTACACCACCTAACTTGAAAATGACAGAGTAGCCTATTGTGAGGACTGAGGCACTTTTAACATGTTAACAAGCACCTGATACACAAAAACCTTAAATATAGTGATAATTATTGGTGTAAGAACTAAAACTACTAAACTCTTTGAATAAAACAGAAGTAAATCTTCTTGACCTTGTGTTAGGTAAAGCCTTCTTTGACACTATAAGAAAACACAAGCAACAGAAAGAAATATATTGGACTTTTTCAACAATAAAAACTTTTGTGTTTCAAAGAACACCATCAACAAAATACAAAGACAACCCATAGAATGGAAGAAATTTTTTGCAAATCATGTGTCTGATCAGGGTCTAGTATCCAGAATATATATTAAAAAAAACTCTTACAACTCAACAATAAAAAATAAAAATAAAAAGCCCACAAATAACCCAATGAAAAACCCAAAGGATCAGAATAAATATTTCTCCAAAGATATACCAATGGCTAAGAACATGAAAAGATGATCAACACCATTAGTCATTAGGGAATTGCAAATCAAAACCATGATGCCGCATCACACCCATTAGAATGACTAAAATTAAAAAAGATCATCAAGAGGTGAAAAGAATATGGAGAAATTGGAACCCTCAAACATTGCTGGTGGGATTATTAAATAGCATAACCACTTTGGAAACAATCAGGTAGTTCTTCAAAATGTTAAATATAGATTTGTCATCTGATCCAGGAATTCCAATCCTAGGAGAACTGAGAATACATGTCTCCACAAAAACTTATACTTAAATGTTTATAGTCACATTATTTGTAACACCCAAATGTGGAAACAGCCTAAATGCACATCATCTGATGAATGGATAAACAAAATATGGTTCATCCATATATGCTGGGTTGAAGTGTGTTCCCAAAAAAAGTTATGTCAACCTCCTAACCACCAGAACCTCAAAATGTGACCTTACTTGAAAATGAGATCTTTGCACTTATAATCAGTCATTCTAGAGGAGGGTGGTATCGTTATAAACTGACTATGTGAAGAAACAAACACAGAGGGACAACAAATGCCATGTGACATAAAGGCAGAGGCTGGGGTCATGCAGCCAAGAATGCTAAACACTGCCAGCAAGCCACCAAAAGCTAGAAAGAGGCAAGGTAGGATCCTTCCCTACAGGCTTCAGAGGGAGTGTGGCCTTGCTGACATCTTAATTCTAGCCTCCAGAACTTGTGAGACAACATAATTCTGTGATTTTAAACCACCAAGTTTGTAGTGCTTTTGTTATAGCAGCCCTAAGAAACTATAATACAATAGTAACACCACATAATGGAATAATTCAGCCATAAAAAGGAATGAAGTACAGCAGGTCTTCAATCTACTAAGGTCATTTAATTCTCAGTTTGATGACATACTGGAGGAACTTAACTCTTGTTTATTATATTATTTAGCCTATGGTGAAACTAGTTTCCTTAGAAGCCGTTTCAGATGATGTTAAGTGAGGACTTACGGTCCTAATATGCTACAACACGGTCAGTCCTTGAAAACATTATGCTAAGTGAAAGAAATCAAGTACACAAGTTTACATATTACATGGTTTCACTTATATGAAATGCAAATAAGCAAATCTACAGACAGAAATATATAGTATATATATTAGTAGTTGCCTAGAACTGGGGAAGAGGAGGCAGGCAAAATTGCAGGGAAATGGTGAGTGACTGCTAAATGAATACAGGATTCCTTTTGGAGCTGATGAAAATGTTCTAAAATTAACTGTACAACTCTTTGGATATACTAAAACCACTAAATTATATATTTTCAGTGGATGAATTGTATGGCATGTGAATTCTATCTCAATAAAGTTTGTGTGTTTTTAAAAAGTACAAAATAAATACATATGACAGAGAGGGAGAGAGGGGTGGGGATACCTGAAATACAGCATTAGGGGAGAGCTGTTTCAAGAAGTAATGTGTGAAATGTGAGCTGAGGCCAAAACCGGTATGGCTCAGTGGCTAGAGCGTCGGCCTGTGGACTGAAAGGTCCCGGGTTCAATTCCAGTCAAGGGCATGTACCTTGGTTGCGGGCACATCCCCAGTAGAGGATGTGCAAGAGGCAGCTGATGGATGATTCTCTCTCATCGATGTTTCTAACTCTCTATCCCTCTCTCTTCCTCTCTATAAAAAATCAGTAAAATATATTTTTTTAAAAAGAAAGAAATGTGAGCTGAAACCTGAAGGATAATGGCAACTGGGAGCAGAGCATTCCAGACAGAGGGAATGGTGTACATGTCCTAGGGTGAGAATGGGCTTGGCATATTTGAGGAGCAGAAAGGCCATATGGCTAAAGTATGAGCTGTAGAGAGTGGTGTGGGATTAAGTGGGTCATAGACAACACTGGCAAGTCAAAAAGTTTTGAAGTTAATTCAAAAGCTTGTTTTTTTCCTTTTCAGCAAGGAAAGATAAAACAGCAAAATTCAAGAGGGGCACTGCTCTGTGCCACTCTAAACATTTCTGTTCTGGTTTCCCTTAAAAGGTTCTCCTCCGTCTTATACTGTTAGACAGCTTGTGTCAAACACCTGTTGACCTCATTCTGGAGGTATTTCAATAACACTCAGGGATGGGCCTAAGGAGCATGTGTGAAACTGTAATGAAGATGTAAGATAACAGATATATAAATCTGAGAGGTAAACAGAATTAGCTAGCCCACTTAATAAATCTAAAATAATGAAGTGACATTAATCAGAGAGTAAGACTATGAATAAATTCAGTAAATTTATTACTACACATTTGTATACAGGTATACCTGTCTCCTAAATAATAGGCAAAAGTAGTAAAAACAGTATTCTTTCCCATTTTCCAGGGAAAAAATAGTTCTGACCTAGAGGCTATCTATGAGGCTATAAACAAAGCAAAAAACAAAACAAAACACACATACACAAAAAAAACAAACAAACAAAAAACTCCAACATGATTAAAATTAGTAGTTAACTGTACTTACTGTTTAGCCTGGTTAACATGAACTCCTAGTGTATAGCTCAGCCATTTGTATGTCACCTGCAAAGAGAAGGACTTTTTTAAACATTTAAGTAACTCCAGAGGGCTAAAAGCTCCTAAAGATTCCTAGTCTTAGATGATTATGCCTTATCAATTATAATTAATGCCACCCCAGTTTTCCCAAGAACCATCCATCTGGGCAGGCAGGATGGAGATATGTACGAAGTTTGTTCCACAGACCAATTAACGCAAAGGATATAAAAAGAAATGCTGAATGTACATCAAGGAAAAAAGCTCTCATTGTCCTCACATTCCCTTGTTTCATGAAGGCCCTTTCCATATTCTGTCCTTTCTGAGAGCCACCACCTAAAACTAGACCAAAACTCACCCAGAAGCTAGATTACTTTGAAGTGCAGGACTCAGCAGAACCTCAAGGACAGCTGCAGCCTTACAAACAAGCATTAAAGGGCACAGGTGGTGCGGGGGTCAGGGAATGAATGAGGTGGAGGAGATTAGATTGGGAACTCCTGGCCTCAGACCAGCTCTTCCTTCCACCCCTCCTTGGCCTCTCCTGTTACTCTTCTCTCGCAAAGTCTTCCAGTTCTACATGCTGAGCTTCCAATAATTAAAAGTGTTACACAGGTTAGGCAAAGGCAGTGTGAGGTATATGAGAGAAAACATGAGCAAGAGACAGACCTCTTGCTAAACTGGGAAACTGCCCGCCCTTGACCAACCACAAATAAAGGAGTTATGTGGCCCCTCAGTCTGCTTCCACTGCCTTTTCTACCGACCTGTGGGTGGGTCACTGCCCATAAACGCAATGATGTGAGGATCCGCAGTGCATGCACATACATACATTGTCTCACTTGATCTTTCCTCCTTCCTTCCCTGGGATACAGGTCAAGCCGGAATCAATACCAAATTCCCAGTAAGAGGAAACCGACTGTCCGAGGCTTATACAACTTAACCACTTAAACCCGGTTACAATCTCCTCAACTGCAGTGGACTATAGCAATATACAGCCAAATGTAGTGGATGAGATGGTAACCTACAGATGGTAGGTTACCAACATACAGATGGTAACCTAATACCTTTTTTCACTTTGTGCAAAACATACAAGTCTGACTTTAAACGCCCACCACCTTCTCAGACAGGTGTGGGGACGCCTTAGGAACATCAACCACCAACGCCCCGCCCTCCGCGGCCCCGAGGCGGTGCCCAGCGCCCAGCACGACCACCCGAGGGGCGAGGACCTGCGGGCGGACCCCGAGACCTCCCCGCGAGCTCTCGCTCCCCGGGGGGCACCAGCTTGGGGACCTGTCTCCCCTGTCCCGCCCCCCACGAGACCCCACGCCGAGGGAGGGGGTCAGGTCCCGCCGCCGCCCTCGCAAGGCCCAGGACCCCAGGCGCGCGCCCGCCCGCGTCCCCCAGCCCCAGCTGCTCACGATCTTGTTCTGGTCCGTGACGAACTCGTCTATGTTTTCCAGATAAAGCTGGTCCGCCATGGTCTGGAGCTCCCCAACGCCGCCGCCACTACCGCAGCTCCCGCCGGCGGGAAACGTCTTTCCTCCCACCCGGCGGATCCCGGTCGTTTCCCCGGGAAACCGGGGCGACGCGCTACGGTGGCCGGCCGAGGGCCAAACTAGTCCCGAAGGCGGCGCAGGAGAAGTGGGCGGGGCCAGCGGGAGCAGGCGGAGGGGAGGAGCTAGGAACATGGGCGTGGTCCGGAGGGTTTGTGGTTGGAGTCCTGGTTTCCAATCTTACCTGGGCCACTTAGTGAATGACCCAGGGCAAAACGCCTTACCTCCAGAAGCCACAGTCTCTCTACCTATAAATTGGCAAAATAATCCTTGACCTTTCATATCTTTATTAAACAAATATTTGTCAAGTTACCTATTCTATTCCGGGCACGTCTTAGGCCAGTGGTCGGCAAACTCTGTAGTCAACAGAACCAAATATCAGCAGTACAATGATTGAAATTTCTTTTTTGAGAGCTGAAAACCGATTTCTGCATGTGGGCCACGAAATTTCAATCGCACTGAACGTGCATGCCTGCACGTGGTATTTTGTGGAAGAGCCACACTCAAGAGGCCAAAGAGCTGCATGTGGCGCTCGAGCCACAGTTTGCCGACCACTGTCTTAGGCAATGGGGACAGAGCAGTGAACAATAAGGAAATAAACAAGTAATTTTTAGTAGAGTGATGCCAGCTGGGATAAAGCAGTGCTTGTTATAATCCCTAAGAATTGCAAAATTAGGGAAGGGTTTTCCAGAGTGGGTGGGAGGGGCAGTGGTTCCTAGAGGCAGGCACATTTGTTGGGAAGAGAAAAGAGATCATTATTGATTGAAATGTTGGCAGAAGAGATCAATGAGAAGAAATGAGATTTGGGAGACAGACGCCTGCCGTGGGGCAACCAGGCCAACAGAGGAGTTAGTAAAGGACAATCAAATGCCAGCAAGGGAGGGGGGAGGCAATTGGGGGTGACCAGGCTGACAGGGAGGGGGCAGTTGGGGGCAATCAGGCTGGCGGGGGGCGGGGGGACAGTTAGGGTCAATTAGGCTGGCAGTAGGGGGTAGTGAGAAGCGACTAGGCCGGTGGGAGAAGGGGGGCAGTTAGGAGTGACCAGGCAAGCAAGGGAGGGGCAGTTGGGGTGACCTGGCTGGTAGCTGGGGTCAGTTAGGGGCGACCAGGCAGGCAGGCAGGTAGGCAGACAGGTGAGCAATTAGGAGCCAGCGATCCAGGATTGTGAGAGAGATGTCCAACTGCCGGTTTTGGCCCGATCCGCGGAATTGGGCCGAAGCCAGCAGTCAGACATCACTGAGGGGTCCCAGATTGGAGAGGGTGCAGACTGGGCTGAGGGGAACCCCCCTGCACAAATTTTGTGCACCGCACCTCTAGTAAACAAGATAATATACATAAAACTTTTACATCATGACTGCACACAATAAAAATCAATAACAACTGGCTATACATTGCTATAGCCATGCACTATGCACCAGGTGCTTTGAGAGTTAAATTTCATTTAATCTTCATAGCAACTCTGCAAATGGATTGTGTTTGTCCATATTTCATAAACTAGTTTGCCACGGTTTAAGAGAGGAGACATGGATTTTTTTAGGTCATGGGCTAATGCGGTAATGCTGGGACTGAAACTCATTTCCTGTCATTGCTCCACAGGAGTGGGGTATACTAGTAAGTCAAGTTAACTGACCAGAGTTTCAATACTATCCCCGCATCAACAGAAGCAGATAATACAGTAGAGAGTACCTGGTCCAACTTGGTACTAAATCACCACTATTTTAAAAATTACATGATTTCTAGAGGCCAGATTAGTGGTTACCCTTGGGAGGGAGAAGCTGAAAGGCTTCTGAGAAAAGGATAACATTCTGGTTCTCAATCTGGTTGCTGGGCTCATGGTATGTTGAGTTTGTGAAAATGACTTTAACAGTACACTCTGACAACTATAGTTTTCTGTATGTATGTTCACACCAATAAGAAGTTTAAGTAGTTACATAATCTTAACTATTGTGCCAAGCCTTCTTAAACCAAGAAAATTGGTACAAGTGTTAGAAAGAATGTGTTTAGACTGGCCGGTGTGGCCCAGTATTCAGCATCAACCTATGAACCAGGGGGGTCACAGTTCGATTCCTGGTCAGGGCACATGCCTAGGTTGTGGGCTCGATCCCCAGGAGAAGCCATGCAGGAGGCAGCGGATTAATGATTCTCTCTCGTCATTGATGTTTCTATCCCTTTCTCCCTCTTCCTTCCTCTCTCTGAAATCAATAAAAAATATATTTTTTTAAAAAGAAGTAGAAGGCTGACATCCCAGAAGTAACTGACATCGGAGAGTCTAATCATTCTGACGGGGCATGGGATGGAAAATATGGATGGAACTCAATATTGGAGAAAGAGTGAGATCAACCTCTATGCAGTCAGGATCTCCAGACTTGTGAAGTGGTGTTTAGCACTATATCATTCAGACATTCATTCATCAAACATTACTCAAGGCCTCTCTCGTCTACCAGACCCTACATGACCAACTATGGGGAGCACAGCATGGTTTTCATGCATGGGAATTTTGTCTGTGTGGAGTCAACAGCAACACGGTATGAGGGAAGTGCAGAGTACATGGGAGCCCAACAGAGGCAACCGGCTTGAGGATCAGAGGAAACGTGGAGGGAACTGGACCCAGGTTCTCCAGGGTTAGGTTCCATGTATTCCCTTCTTTCACTTTATGCAAAATATATGACAAAGTACACAACACACATGTCACTATATCCTCTTTTGGGTCATTTTTTTTTTTTTTTTTTTTAAGCTGTTGTATGAGCCCTAACCGGTTTGGCTCCATGGATAGAGCATCAGCCTGTGGACTGAAGGGTCCCAGGTTCAATTCCGGTCAAGGGCATGTACCTTGGTTGCGGGCACATCCCCAGTAGGGGGTGTGCAGGAGGCAGCTGATCGATGTTTCCCTCTCATTGATGTTTCTAACTCACTATCCCTCTTCCTTTCTCTCTGTAAAAAATCAATAAAATATATTTAATAAATAAATTAGTAAATTAAATAAAGCTGTTGTATGACAACATGTGTACCTGTACAGACACTTATAGACACAAGGCACGGTACACTATCTTATTATAGAATGTACAACCACCAAGGCCAGGACATGTCAACCTTCCTGACAGCTGGGGAGGCAGGAGTCCAAGGAAAGTTGAGATAAGCCCCCAGGCACTGTTCTAAAACACCTTATCAATTCCATAAACATTAGTACAAAGCAGTTACCGAAACCAAGTGGGTGGGCCAGGAGAGCACCCAGACACTGCTTCCCGTTTTCTACCCACTGCCACCCACGCTCACCCCAGCCCGTCTATTCCTCAGCTCAATCACAGAGGTGCACACTGCTACCTTCGCTGCCTTGGACATTCAGAAAAAGAGAAGCGGCCTCCCATCTTGCAGTCGTTTTGTACAGTGTTCTCCTTTCTCCATTCCCTCGGGGGCTGGAAGGGTGTTTTGGAGGGGTGAGGGAAAAAGTGAAGATAATTGGAAATTGGTCACGATAAGTTTTATCTTAAGCAAGCACACAACTTCTGAATTATTAACATTGAGGGTTGGGATTTGGGGTGCTGGCATTCAGGGCTGGAAAGAAGCATACGGTCCTTTGCTCAGAGACCGTTGCTCTCTGGCTGCCAGCCCTGCTGGTCGTGAAGACTCCCAAGAAAATGGCATGTGGCCTCAGGTTTAGTATCCTGTAAAGAAGGGGCAGAGGCCCTGCCAGGCACAGTCTTGATGGAGCGGGTTGCTCTTTTTGCCTCATTGGCTCTCTACTGCCTCTCTGGGACTATTCTGTCTTCTTCTGTCTTAATTGTTACGAAGCGAGTCCCCAAGAGATGGATCACCGGAGCCAATTTGATTAAGCATGCTAAAATTTATTACAGATTCGAATCTGGACTCAAACCATGGCTGACGCAGCAGCCGGTAAACACCCAGGTAAGAGCCCTGATGGAGGGGCAGTCCCTCCAGAGCGCTCACACAAAAACACAGACAAACACACACCTACCGCGGCCAGTCAGGCTCTTCGGAATGGGGGTCCCTCATGGTCCTGGCTGGGGATTCCAGTCATGATCCCCAAGGACCACCAGGGAGCCGAGTCCGATGCAATAAACAAAAGAGCCATCTCCATGCTAGCATGGGCTATCCCACTCATGCTGGCAGCATGGCGGAAGAGAGCGAATATCGCCCAGTCCAGGAGTTTTATTCAGGTCGGTGATGTCACTGCCTCGGCTAACCCTGATTGGCCCCTCAGGACTAAATTCTAAAGACTGGGGACGGCCTGCCAGGTTGGTTCCCAGTCACACTCTGCTTGACATTGGATGTGGCCCTATCTTGCCCATAATACAAAAGCAGAACTAAAGGTTATCTACAGTTTCTACCCCTGAAGCTACTGAGTCAGTGGGAGTCAATCTCCTGTAACTACCCTATTGTTTAAGCAAGCAATCGAAGGTAGAAGTCAGATAGCAAGGTTAAAATTCAAACAGCAGTTTTTACCCAAGTATGAGTGCTACCATATTTCATTAATCATAGTTCCAACTTCTCCATGGTTTTATTTTAAAACCGGTCACAGGCCGCCATGTCTCATCTCTACCACTACCTCTGTCTTTTGCCCTGTCACTGCAGATTGTCTCAATAATTCCTCATTTTGAAATTCCTAAACGGTTGCACCTGATTTGCTCAGCTTATCAAGGGTTTTCGGCTTTTTAAATCTCAGACTATGAATACCTACTTCAGCATACTGAGCAGCCAGTGGGCAGGTTTCTCATAGGCAGGTGCTCTTTCATCCATTCATTGTTCATGGAGTTCCTTCTACTCACTCACTATATATGTGAGACACAGGAAATTAGGATACCTGTGGTGCTGATTGAAACAGGTAAGTTCACAGTTACACGATCATGTTATCACAAGATGCACCCACTAGAGATGTCCAGTAGGTTGTGGCAAGTGTCTGTGCTCAGATGCAGAGTTTGATTGGGTGTCCACAACATACAGATGGTCACCGAGGCCATTGGAAGAGAAGACCAGGTCACGCAGGGACAGAGTTGAAGGCAGGACCCCAGGGAACACACAAGTTAA